CTTTAGCAAGGGAACTACGGCATGAAATGGCGGATCAACATACATAACTGCTCTTCAGAATAGATAGGGCATGGAAAATTGCCCGAGACAAGGTAATAGGATGCCACTGCGCGGGATCTCGTAGCAACCCCAGCACCACATCGAACACCGTCTTGCCCATGAGTTTGATACATTCGTCGGTCCGAACGGCTAGTATTGTACAAAACTCCAAGATGTAAGCGACGCTGGGATCATATGTTGGCTGCACGACAGCTTGAACCTGAGCATTTGCTGACACAGGCGCGATGGAATCTTGCTTGACTGTCATGACTGCCGCTTGATCATCCTCAGGAATCTGTTCAAGAAGCACCTGCACCAGTTCTGCGGCCGTAGGAGCAGAGAGATTGCTGCTGATGTCAGAGCATATGGACACCTGAATAAAGGAGTATAGAAACTTACAATATATTTTGAAAAATTTGCTCCATATTGCACGACTTAATGCAATCGACAGTACATAATGTACTCTCTAGTTCCTCTTCTGACGGCTCCGGGGGGTCATCAGCCGCATAGCTGGATATGTAAGAAGTAAAGGCGCTGAAGAATCCCGTTTCAGCAGATCGCGCAGCCCGGTCTATAACCTGGGACGGCATTTGCAGAGGGATTCCTTGTATCGATATCGAGAATTTACTCGCGGCAGCGAACGATGGTATTAGTGAGTTCACAAAAAGGTTCACCCAAATTTGTACAACCTTCGCCACATTAGTCCCAATTATCCAGCTGCATATCATTGCTTAAGAGAGACTTACTTGCTTCCATCCTTGCTGAATGAGCGCCTCGTTCCCGGTAATCACACGAAATAAAACGAGTGTGGCTAGTTGTGCGCGGAAGTCCCGGCCAAGCTTGACTGCTAACTCACTGACCATCACACTCCCATCCCCAACTTGAATCTCTGTATTCAAGGACGTGTTGAAAGTATTAGCTGTGGCAAGTGTACTCATGTGACTCAGACAGTATATTATTTGGTCCAGGGCATCAGAGTTTTTGTATTTGGCTGCGATACGGGCACACTCATCGAAGCCAGTGACGATTCTAGCGAAAACCGCATCGTCAGTCGCAGACATGAAAACATACGACAAGGTTGAAACAATCGGCTTCCATGTAGCGGCAAACATATCGGCATCGTATATGTTCGTATTGCAGATAACCAGTTCTCCCACCGTTTCGGTTTTCAGTAAGAGTTCCCTCCATGCGTAGTCGAACGCATGCTTGTTATCATGCTCGTCAGGCAGGATGATTTCATTAGACTTGATCGAGTTGAAAATTGCTTGAAGGAACTCTACGGCGAAGTCTTTTCCATCATTCGTACCACGAAGATTTCTTGAAAAGTCTTCAAAGGTCATTCTCTTGGCGGATTTGAGATTAGGGTTGTGCTGGTCGGTATTCAAAATGATTATCGCGTAACTCAATATGAACACAGCGTCCTTGTTGGCTACATCATTAGGTGTGTCGTCGGCGCAATACTTCTCCGAAAAGCATTCAACTATTGACGCGATAAGCGGTGCTTCTCCAGGCAGCCTGAATGCTTCTAGAAGAACTCTCAGTGCCTCATCTACCCGCTTGCCAGAAAAGTCGAAGAGATCTAGGAACGCTTTCAGAATTGCTTCATTTCCCTTCTTCGAAAGATAGTCACCCAAGACTGATTTAGAAACCCGCGAAGTTCCCTTGAGGAATTTCGCTACCTCCGTAGGATTATTGGCATCAGATATGATTCCCTGAGCCTCCAAGTAGCCGAGCCCCAGCTTCGGTTTCTCGTTGAACTTGCTAGTTCCTTTGACAATGATTCTTTTCTTTCGTCTTTGCTCTCGAAGTTGAGACGGCTGTGGAAACCCTGCATTAATCGGATCATCCTCCAGTCTTTCGGCCAAGAATTGGATGTAACGAAGCAGGGCGTCGAGGCATAGCGGCGGGACACTAGTTGTACTCCATGTTGCTGAATCAGGCAGCGCATTTCGCGAGAGTAAACCGATAATATCTTCGCAAAGATCCGCTCTATCCACATCGCAGTCGTAGTTTACGAACAACTCGGCAACAAACGTGGGCATTCGGGACAGAACACCTATGGTCTCGACCATCGCTTGCCTTGCATCAGGCTTGCGAGCGCCTCCTTCTAAACCAAGCTTCTGCCTATCTTTCACGGAAACTGGAGTAGCGCGGCCACTACTAGCCTGTGAGGGCGGAGGCTTGACAAGCTTTGGTGTCTCCGGTATCCCGATGTACAGGGAAGGATCAATGCCTGGCTCTCGCGGAATCTGGACTGTAGGGTGCAAGCATGCAACTAAGTAGGATAAATATAGTTCTTGTTGTAACTTCAGCACCCCTCTGCACGTAGCCAGCAAGGTACCTGTGACAATCAATGACTCCTGTAGTACAGCCATGTTGTCAGATCTGACGAGTTGAAAGAGATAGCAGCACAGTCGATCCTCTGCAATCGCCGCCAGTGCCGGGTGTCGGGTAATAAACGGCCCCGAAACTTCCAACGCTACATGTAGAATTCGCATTGCCATCACTCTCATTGTGTCTGTGTGTTGTCGATCATTCGGATCGAGGAAGTTAACAAGAACTCGAAACAGCTCTCGGACAGAGGGGAAGGAATAAGGTTTGAGATCTACAAACTCCGTTTCTTCAGTCTGTTCGCTTGAGGTGTCCTTGACACTCTGAGATGCAGGCGCAGCGTCTCCATGTTCATCATCGTCACAAGTCAGTGCATCTCTCCGAGGCGAGTTCGAATCCTTGGGGTTTGGGGCACTTTCTTCATTCTCGGATTGGCCAGGTTCTTCCAGTCTTAAGTTGGCCAAGTCCTCCTGGACACGATGCTCAAGTCCGTCATTTTCCTGGCCAGGTTCCAGCTCAAGATGCTTGACATCTTCGAATATAATCTGACACATGCGAACCATAGCAGCCTCGGCTGTTCTGCGTAGCACTGCTGAGAACCTGGGTTGAGAGCAAATCGCTAAACCGCGACCCATCATGTCGCAGACACTTTCATCACTTAAAATATGACCACCAGGACCGGACATCATGTCCTCCATGAGATTAAGAATCATCAGAAGAACCACCTCGCCCTGAGATGAGTCACTGATATCGAATTGACAATGTGTCACAGCTGCAGACAGAGATTGCATAGCAAGTGCGAATCTGGGCGAGTCAGAACAGACAAATCCATAAGCCAAGAATTTCCTGAGGGCTCCGAGGGCGAGAATCGTAATAGGTGCCGCGGTCCCTTTGGCTTGGATGACAAGGAGAAAAGGCGCCAGCAATGAGGGTGCATCAAAGGTGCGAACATCTGACAAGTAAGTTAATGAGTGCTTGTACAAACTCTAATGTTGTCGGCCAAACCTTTGACTGCCGCAATCTCGTGTCGAAGCTTGCCGAAAGCTGCAATCATAGGGTTATCTTGCATGCTCTTTCCCTTCTGGCCACGCAAACCCCATCGGTTGTTTACAGATGTTGCGTCATCGTCGTTTTCGGCGCCTCCAATGCTTGCAGTCAATACCTTCTGTCGAGTCTTCAATACAGGGCCGGCAGTACCAAACTGTATCAAATTCGGGTTGCCACCCAGGATCGCTGATACTGAGGAGTGTGGTGATCTAGCATGCTTTTGGACTGCAGAAGTTATTGATATACATTCGGATATGACCAGTGAGATGGGGTCAACGGCGACAGACACCGGTCGGTTGCGATACTGCATCCTCGGAGCATCGTGGTATAGCGAAGGCGAATCTATTAGTTCAGTGGCGGATTGCCTGTCGATTGTACAAGGTAACGGAGCATCTTGGCTCATCTTAATGAACGTGTCTAGTATTTTGGCACTGAGCATCAGCTTCGTTCGTAACTTTGGGAGTTGGTACTTCTGGGAAGCTCATGGTTAACCTACCTCCTCCTACGTCGATATGTGGAGTTCAGAGCAGCGGTAGTACATGTGAACAGGTTCAATATCGATAATTCTCCCGTTGAAATCGAATCGATGTTGTTTTAGCTTGTCGTTGTGGAAGTTTGTTATGACAGACCTAGGTAGCCCGGTCAAGTTGCCTTACAACAGGACGACGTTATTGGAGCTCAAGGCTGTGAGTGTCCCTCCGTCCCCTTGGACCTTGGTACACTTGTCCAGTCCGACATCGAGTGTCCAATGACGAGCCCCCACCTCTCGTCCCAACCAACCTTCAGCCTTGCACCTTACTTCTGGATTGTGGGGAGCGCGAATTCCAGGCCTGTCTCTAAGATTTTTCTACGGAGTAGTACTAATCACCCAATTCCACTTGTGCGTTGGTGTCCATACAACAATCATTGGATCATCGGCAGGGGGCAACAAGATACGGAGTCTCTGCTACCGATGTACTCTCTCAGCGGTTGCCTTACATGTATAATTGATTGATTGAATTGTTTACCGTCTTTTTGCGCCTCCGCAAGGGGACATGAGACGTGCTAGGCTATGTATTCTGACCAAGTCAGTGGCGTTTTTTAAATAATACATACACATTAACCGGATTTTTGCCCCTTAATGACCTAATTTCTCTATCCATCTAGCATTTCATGCCTTTAAGGAGGTATTTTCTCCTTGGGTTTTTTTGACCAGCTACAATTCTCTGATACCCTTTTAAAGCTGCAGCAGCAGTTTAACCTCCAGTAACCACGTGTTCAAAATAAAAGGGGAATAGTGTATAGTGCGTATTAGGTAAGTTACTTGATGCACCTCTAGCTATATCCTCCCTCATGTTGAAATTATGGACGACAACAACTACAGGTCTGCTATTTCGCAGACTTGGAAGGCAGCGTCGCATCGCGATAGGATAATAGGTCGACTGAGTACTGATTGGCAATATAGGAATAACGTCTCTCGGTCGAATGGTGAAAATACTTTCCCTATATAACGCCAATGGAACATATCATCCCGAGAAGATAACGGCAGTGTCATACAACGCCTCTATCCCGCCGCCCACCCTGATAAATGATAATAATACATCTCAAGCAATGACCCCGGAGTCCTTCGCAGCGTCTTCGGCTTGATGTAATTCTGGAGAAGCTACACTGGGCCGCTTTGACTGTTGCTGTTGCTCCCTCATTTCTTTCTTATCCTTCTCCCACTGACTACTTGCGTCACCAAATTCTTCTTTCAATTTCTGCTCCTTCAGTTTCTTCTCCTGCTCTTCCTTCTCACGAGCAATTCGTTCCTGCTCCATCTCCTATTGCGAAAAGTCAGAACTCGTCGACCAGCGGTTGGCCACCGCTCGAGTACTTACCTCCATGTGACGAATGTCATCTACACTAGGTTCATAGAGATGCCAAATCACGTAGTGTGGCAACCCTACCACAGAGTACTGCATTCTCTTGGCCATCTGTTCAAACTCCAGTCAAAATACGTCACAAAACACATATAGGGTGGGACGAAATACCGACCTTTCCAAAGCCCTCTGTCTCAGCATGCTTTTGGAAGCTAAAAGCTGGGAAGTGAACACCGGTTCGAAAGACTTTAGCTTTGGCTAGAATGCTGACACCGCCAACGCCGTCGATCTCCATTTCCATATCTGGATCGCCATAAGGGTCACGTAGATATGCCAGGTGAGGTCGCCAGGTGGCGTACTCGGCGTAGCCTTCCACAATCACAGCATCTTCATCCAAGGTGTCGGCAAGCGCTAACGCAGTCTCTGATTCTTGCCAAGAGTTCAAATCGTATGGTTGTTCGCCACCGAGCCAATCCGGTAGGGGTCGCCAGACGTCTAGAAGAAACGGGATTAGTTGGTTATAGAGATATTGAATAGTAAAGGAGTCAGAATAGTACAATGCGGTACTTACTTGGCACAATGACGTCTTTATTATGACGCATAAGATCCTCGAGTATGGTGAAGGGCGCAGTCTCTACATCTACATCTCGCCAATAAACCCAAGAGTGATATGGTCTTAAAGCTGCACTGAGAAGCCAATTTCTGGCCTGAGCCATTAGCTTTCTTCGACTGGCTTGTGCTGCGAATCCATGTCGGCTTTCAACATCTTGGTTGACCTTTTGACCAAAATCTTTCTCAATAATGGACACTTCTCCATAAGGCTGTTTAGGATCAGGATCGGCCTGGATTCGTTCCAAATTGTCGGTGAGCACCTGTAATGTTCGATCTTTAGAGTCGGACACCAAGAAGGCAAGGTCGATCAAATGATGAGGGTATGTGAAATTGCGCAAATGAGAGAAAAACATTGCCAAATGCGCTTCCGCGTCACGCAAAGGGACGCACAAGAGAATACGTTCTTCGCGTTCCCAGCCCCGTGCAGTACCTTGGACATTGCTGAGATCATAGTATCGGACGGTTTCGAGCTCGACATCGTTCGTCGCAGAGAACAAGCCTAGAGATACAACAGAGAGGATTGGGTTAGAGGGCCATAACCAAAAACTAATGACAAGCAGTCCAATCACTGCAAGGCCAACTCGAATGAGAAATTTTCTCTGCCGTCGGTTCCCCGGTGCTGAAGTACGAGGTTGAAATCTAAAGGGTTGCGTTAGATTGGGTAGGTATATGATGCCTGGATAATAACCACGCAATTACCTATGGGGAGATATGTCAAATGTGTTGCCTCTGGGATATCCGTTGGAAAATCCGCTTCCTTGATGCCGTGGCATCATTTTGCTGGCAGAGAGCAAGACATAAGATGACAGATATGTGAAGAACAACCCAGATCCGCACTGCCTGCTACCAGACCGCGCAGAATAATGACAGAACCAAGGGGCGAAATTGATCCCTGCGTCAAGTAGAAGAGGAAAAATGGGAAAGGAGGAAGAGGCGATCCGTCTTAGGATATCGGTTGTGATGCAAGCGATGTAATCATTAATCAGTATGCTTGCAACCGCGATTTAAAAAGTGAAGGGTGGAGGACACCCAGCTGCCTTTTGAAAGGAGACTTCATGCGCATGGTCAATTGCTGAGTGTCTCGGGCCAGGAGACCACCAGTAGCGAGTCCCTCCGCCTACTTAAGTACCTAGGTACTTACCTATCTAGGTACTTTACCTACCGTAGTAAGTACTTTAGGGTAGGTACATTACAAAGTATGTCCGCCAGAGCGTAGACAGACACACAATGGCCCTTGAGGTGGGTACATGCTCTCTGTGGAGTAAAGTTCTACCTGACGATGGGATATGACCAAGCCAAGTAGCCAGGTTAGTCCTCTAGCCTTTCCAGCATAGCATACCCTATGATACACAAATCGAATAATGAAATTTATCAATTACTCAGAGGGTTGAATGCCTATGAGCATTAGATCAGAGTCGGCACGCCTTCTGCATTATAACCATTGGCAAATGGGTGTAGGCCAAGATAAATCGGAACAATCGAAACTGATTGAAGCACTGATTTCGATCCCTTACTACATCACCACTGGCCAGTGTTAGGTCATTAGCGAGAAAGTCGGTTCGTGTTCTAATGAATGCGCTATACATTTACTACTGGAGCGATCGAGTATAATTACAGCATATCTTGATTCGTGCACTCTGAGACCTACTCCAAGACCTGGGAACACGAACGGAAAAAAAGGTAGACAGGTTGCAGAATGAACAATGAAGTGCTACGACTATAATTATTTGGATTGGCTGCTACAACAACCCGTACCAGGTGGGGAGAGACTTATTGTCCCTCTCGCCCCCAAACCAGCCAGCCTGTCTGCGTGTTTATCGTCATATGGAGCTATATCACTTCGTCCACGTTTAGATGCGCGACTAAAACCCTTGCCTGAAACCAGTGAAATCAAAGACAATAACGACTGCCAAAACAACGTGGCAAAGATCAGAATGTCATGGAAATATTGAAGATACTCACCTTAATAATGCTGCAGTCTTATGTACCGCAGCTCGACTCTGTAGTGTGACCCGCTTTGTTGGATAACTGCTGCGAGATTCAATTAGAAATCGCCATCTAACAGGATACCATGATATAGAGCAGTTCTTGAGACGATTCGTCAGACAAGCCAGTTTACTCAGTCATCTTCACCGGCCCTTCCATACCAGCGAACCAGAACGGGCCACGAATAGGGAGAGGCACTAAAGTTAAATAACGTCGAGTGACAACTCCACAACTTTCATAGCGTCCCAGACAGAGAAGCTCAAGTGCGGGAGAATAACTCGGTAAAGATGAGGTAGTTGAATGGATAGAACTTGTGTCATCATCTGCCCATGCTACGCAGTCTTAACGGAGAAACAGAGAATAGGGCATGTGTACCTTGACACCTCGGGCGGTACAGTGCGTCTTGTTGCGCGAATCGGTTGTACAAAGTGCTGGACCTAAGCAAGTTTGAAAGAAACAGTGACGTTGCACTGCGGCTTCATGCGCAAATTAGCCATGTTATGCAGAAGACAGTATCAGTGAAGCACGCAGGTGTGAAATGCTAGTTGGTATCAGAGATCTTGGTATGGTATTTAGGAGTCATCACTTTAGTTCAGTAGCAGAACTGGATGAAAATAAGTCTCATCATGCAAGGAGGGTTTGGCTATAATTGCACTCTGATTAACTTACTCGGTGACATTACTTCTCTAGGCTACTTCATGTAGCAATCCTCGCCTTGGTGTATCTGCAGTATCTCTGGATTAGTAGATCTTCAGGTAGGTACATGCTGCACACATTGTTTGGCAACACACTTCATCAGATGGTAGTGCATGCTTGTTCAATCGCTCAGGAGTCGCGGGAACAGTGGTGTGTGATATCTTCATATGAGTTGTATGTGAAGAATAAAAGACAGTGGCTGCAGGAAAAGGTAGCAAATCACTCACTATTTTTCATATTTGATTGCAGGGCAACAGACAGCATACTTTAGTGTCCGGTGAAGATGTTTGTCAAGGAAGAAAAAATTGAAGGCCTAACTCTTGCGGGTCCTTAATAAAGAGATGTGGATAATGGAGTTACCCTTAAAGCCAAAACAAGTGGGATCAGTCGCACCACTAATTTCATATCGCTCCCCACTACTTGCATAACGATTTGGGTGGATTTTACGCCCGCCAACACAGCTCTTGTAAAAGTAAATACACCTCGCCGAGCAATGTCTGATCGGCGACGAATTAACGGGCCAGGAGGTCCTACTAACCCTCCTGTCTACGATGAGGATTTAATAATCAAGCCAGTTCGCACCAGGAATAATAATGATGTCCGACCATTTTGTAAGCCAGTCTCCGATCGCGTTCATCTGGTCACATCTAACTCATGTAACAGACCTGAAGACTGGTGTAACACCATCAGCATCGGGCTCCGCCTACTTGGAAATAGATCAAAGTACTGGGAGTGGATTTGGCATGAAGTTTACCTGCACCGTGCATGGACCTCGATCACTCCCTCGATCAGCACCGTTCTCTCCTCATATGGTTATATCAACCCATGTCAAATATGCGCCTTTTGCTACACGACAGCGCAAAGGCTACCTCAGAGATGCCAGTGAGCGAGATTTGAGTATACATTTAGAAACTGCCTTGCGCGGCGCTGTTATTGCGGATCGCTGGCCAAAAAGCGGTGTCGAGGTGGTTGTAACTATTGTGGAAGGTGACGTGAGCCGCCAGACAACCATCGATGAAGGCCATGAGGAGTGGAACACCATGTCTATACTCAGCGGATGCATCACTGTTGCTTCTGCTGCGATTGCCGATGCTGGAATCGATAGCGTTGATGTTGCTGCAGGGGGGGTTGCCGCACTTGTACAAGACGAAGGCATTGGGAAAGAGCCAGTATTAGTCATGGACCCTTCTGTCTCCGAGCACAAGACTATTTTAGCTGCTTGTTGTGTGGCATATTTGCCAGCTCGAGACGAAATTACGAATCTCTGGTACAAGGGGTCTTCATGTGGCTCTCACCTTGCAACATACCGATCTTTGGTTGGCAGGGCAGTTCTTGCGAGCAAGGGAGCCGGAAAAGCAATATCGGTGTCTCTTAACGAAGCGGCTCTGTTAGCTTAAATTCAAGCTTCTTCATTGCCGCCACGCCTTCGATGACTGTCCGGCCGCCGGCAAGTTGTGCCAAAGCCGACTCTCGAAAAGGGGGAACGCTATTCGCAAAATTACAAGAGGCGCTCCTCGGGTATGCAATGGGTAGAATAACTGCGGGTGCATGTAGTTTGTCTGTTGGTATAAGCGGTTGCTGACGAGCTATGGCGAGGTAGCGGACGTGTAAGGTCTAGGCAGGACATATACCTTTTGACTCCAACATACATATTTTGTCAAGGCCGGTGATGACGAGCAGCCATGATAGTCATTTCCATTTCTCAAAGGATGAGCTGGGCGAAGTGGAACCTATCGGTCTTGTCGTCGGTGTCTATTGTTAGGTGCTGGCTGACAATTTCATCTGTCAGCACACATGTTGCTGACAATCTAGGGCCCTATTGCGGCCTTGAGCATATGTATAATTGTAACTTTTATTACTTACTTAAGCAGACATAAAAAAGGAGATGAGACCTCGGCTAAGACTGAGATACGGAGCTACTTTATGGCGTGTCCCACAGATTGAACAGTGGTATGCTGCGTACCCAGGTACCTTTATCATTTGAAGCCGCATACGTGTTTGAGGTAGCCGCCACCGCCTGCATTTCTTCACCTCTACCCACTCGATTGTTAATTTATGTTTTATCCACGTCATGCGCTCGCCAGTCAAATAGGAAGTAGGATATAGGCTATCTAAGCTTCATGTGATCAACCAAGGCTGGGCCTTTATTCGGCAAAAGCTTGCAAATTTCACATTGCGTCTTCGGGGAAGTTCTAGATTTACGTCTGCTCACCACTGTTCCACTGGTATCGTCCTGATCAAGGAGCATTTGAGTCGACTGTGGTAATGGCTGCCATGGTGCTATCTACCTGGGTAGTTCAAGAGTAGCGACTACCCCGGAGGAATTAATGCAAGTAGCCAGGTCGTGTCATCTCATCAACAGCTTCACCCGTTAAATGAAATGTCATTCAAACTGCCCATGGGTCTAGATGGTATGGTTGACACCGGGCTCATTCAAGTCCAACGTGCTCACACCAACTACATACTTTGTACCTATTGCCTAAGTTTTAGCCCTGCCAATGTGGCTAAAGTCTGGGTACTCAAGTACGTTCATTGGAGGTTTTTTTTTTTTTTTTTTGGTGACTATCACCATCTTATCAGTTGTGACAAGATAACCTATTGAAGTTTTTATTTAATATTTGGCTAGTGTGTTTGACGCATCGCGGTGCGTTCTGTGTTTTCCTCGAGGCACGTTACAGTCCTGTAACCTGGTACGGCTCAATCATAGTGTTATGAGTGGTCTCGTATGACTATCTAGCCTTTTACTTTACTTTACTTTACTTTATTTTTTTATTAAATAATTTAATAATTCATAATAATGTAAGATCTGTCTTTCGATACTTATATCGTCACCAGAGCCAGGGGCTGCGCACGTAGGCATTACATATGTACTACCTGCCTACTTGTACTTACCTCAAGTGCTACCTGAGTACCTAGGTACTTAGGGGGCAGTTACCTCCTGTCCCACCCAACGACCATGGCCGTTGGGTCCACCCAAAGTGGATTACTCAAGTGCTCTTTGGAACCAAGAATCAAGTCGTCCAACTTCAGCCGGCTTCAAATCCTTCTTGGTGAGCGATCGCTAATACGACCATCGTCAGCATCCTTTCTCCGGCGATAGCGAACTAATCAATAATACACTTACGTCATATTGCTAGTGTCTCTTTGCCGCGCTGGGGCGTGCTGTGGTATCAGGTATTTCAACAAGTGTACAGCACCACACACCATCCATCATCATCGCATTTGGCAGCGAGCTTATTCCGAGAACCCGACTCCATCGGACTCGATAGGAGGACAACGCTACTCTATGCCTGGTTTTGTCCACATCAGGACATAGAATCAGGCGTGAACTTCCAGAAACGCTCAGTGGCTACTGGATGTGCCATGGACCAACGGCTTCACGCTGCCAATGACTTTGCTCCTCACATGGCCCAACCTTTGGTAAATCTCCAGACAGCTGCGGGTTCAAGTTGGCACAACATCACCGCCTGGGCCATCAACGTGACGCGAAATGCGGCGTTTCTAGAAGACTTCTTGTGGGTCGGTCCACGGATTTTCATGAAACTTGGATCCTACATAGCCTTGTCAGACACCACAGGTGGTTCGACGGGACGACTGACATCGCCATCGGATGGAGCCATGTCCTCAGAGCTGCACTTGCGAAACTTGCTGGAACCTGATATTAGTACCCCTTTGAAAGCAAGGATTGACCCATCCATCGGAGATGCAAATGCAGACACACAAGCTACACGACTGTCCCTTGATGGCGCGCGAGGCTTGGGCAGTGTATTTGGTTACGTTACCAGTAAGTGGGCAGTGTCAACTATCGCCATGGCTATAATCCTCAACCGTACACATATATTTGCAGCTACCAGAAGGCGATTGCGGCTCTACTGGCGTACTAGGCTACTTCTCAGGGTCCTGCCGATCATTCTTCTTGCTTCACAATCACTCCATCTTCTCCGGTCTATCCAATGCCAGACGTCACCAATATTTAACCAACTTCGGTGGGGGGATACAAACAAAACGTCTGATTTGGCATTTGCACATCCGAGTGCATTCCTGAATAAACTGAGCTCTAGCTTACTTCTCGGCGTTGGTGATAGAGAATCATGTGAAGCTGCTGGCATGGTTCCCAAGGGCGACGACTCGGATGCTCAAAATCTACGCGGGTCTTTGAATCTACTATGGCCTCTATTCGGTGTATTATGTCTTAGTCACTTTATCGAGACGCTATCATGTGCCGTCCAAGGCCGCCCGCTCTCAGTGGAAACCGGAATGACGCTGTTTGAGCAATCACTTGCCTTCGCAGAGGCAGATGCGGCCGTCAATAATCAGCTTGGCTGGGGGTCTTTGCCTCGGATCCATCAGAATTTGAACCCGCCAGTATCTGGTTTATCAGCATCAACTTCTCTGACGCGGTCTGCGGTCCTCAGCAAGGTTAACACGCCTCCAGAAGTCTTATTTATTGCATTTCTGTCGTCCATGACTCATCTGTCCAGTCACATGTTGGGAGTATTTGATGCCCAGTCAAAATACAGACTCGTGAATACAGGGTTTTGGGGCCTCTGTTTCATGGGTACAATCGTCTGGAGCGCTTTCGAATTTGAACTGGGAAATCCTTTGGCACAAAGCATGTTAAGATTTCCAACTGTGTGCATCGTTGGATTTGTTCCTCATGTTCTAGTACTGTCTGGTATTGCGGTCTGTCTTCTAATATACGGACTAGCCCTCATCCTGTCTGCTCTAGCTCCGCCGTTGTCTACCAGCGACAGTCGTTCAGCGACCCTTCGTCAAAGGCTAGCACATGCTCATGAAAACATGCAAGCAAATATCTCTCTTTCAGAAATTCGCATAACGAGAGACATGGATTTTTATACAGCACTTCTTCGAACCGGGTTTGCTGCCATCAGTATGGCAAGTGAAGCTGTATACCTCAATGAAGACCGTGGTGTCACTCTACAACATCGCACCTGGCTAGAAGAGGCGCGCTTCCGAGAGGTAGAGGAAATACAAAGGCAAGCAATTGGAATTGGGATGCCTAACTCCCAGTATGACCAGATTGGCACTATCGGGCTCGTTCCAGTAAAAGATTGTACCGTGGCTGCGACAAGCGGCTATGGCCGCGAACGTGCTGCCCAGAGAATATCCAGAGGGCGAAGTGACAGGGCCATTCGGACAGGCACTGGGGCGACTGAAAGAAGCTCAAGGTGGTTCATGGCTGTGGAATTTTTACTGAGCACAGGCAAGTTAATGGTTCGCACAAGTGCCCTAGCGGCACTTTGGGGGTTAGGAAGGATTCGAATAAGGAGTCAACCGGCTTGGCTCCTTTGGCTGGCTAGACGCCAGAAGCTTAGTATGGGTGACAAGGACAGGGTGTCCGGAAGGAGACAGGGCATCACATCGGATGCTTCTGGACGTTCAATCACCGGCCAAAGATCAATTCCTCCAACGGAAGGCTTCGATGTCGAGACTGAATTCAGGCGATTCAATGCTAGTCAGGATGAAGACAGTCTGGATGCAGACCTATATAAGTATTGGTTGACTGGAGGCTGGTGGAGTTCAAATGACGAAAGTGGTGAATACAAGCCAGACGACGAGGACAGCTGGGACACAACTTCCGCCATATCCATCCCGACAACGCCAGTCGACGAAGATGGTTCAGATGACGGCTGGGGATCGGAAGAAGATAATACAGAAGCACCCTCAGGGCTATCACTGACGCGAAGCTGGGAAACCACGCCGCCTGCGGATACAATCTTGGACACGAATAATTTAGCACGACTCCTAAACCCGGAGACTGCAGAAGAACGAGAAGAAGCCCACATCCTCTCTGCACACCTGCAGTATGATACAGTAATGACGAGGTCAAGCTTTAGGCGCCAGGATCATCTCCGACGGAGTCGTGTTCTTCTACGGCCCGGCATGACTGCCACCGGAGGTTACAGATCTTCGGATAGTCGCAACGTGAAATTGAGCCCCGAAGATGAGGAACATCTCTTGGAGCAAATTCTCCTATCACGTCGCAATCAGAACGAGTTCCACTCCCGCGACACTGACACGATTCAGCGTACGGATTTGGCTACCGAGGAAGCAGCAAACCTGCCGTGTGTTGTTTGTCAGAGTTCCGTACGAACAATCGTCGTTTGGCCTTGTCGCTGCTTTAGTCTCTGTGACGACTGTCGCGTGTCACTGGCAATGAACAACTTTGATAAATGTGTATGCTGCCGGAGGGATGTGATGAGCTTCAGCCGAATTTTCGTACCATAGCCGCATGACAGCCTTGCAGCTACACGAGTGATTGTGGTTCATAGTTCTCACTAGATCGTGTCTTCTTATTAATTTTGCTTTCATTGAGAAATGCGCAACGACGGTGCAAATTGGTTCCTATGCGTTCAACTCTTTGTTACATGGCCGCCCACTCGACGCTGTATGTATGGATCGAACTTGGGCGTGAGTCACACGCTGGCTCTTGCCCGCCCAGCAAAAAGGCCTTCTTCACGGCTGTTGCTAGGCGTCCACCTCCAACAATGTCCAAAATAGCTATGTGCTCATCCCATTCGTACTCATTTGCCATGAAGTGTGCATGGAAGCGCAGCGGGTCACCAGGATAAACGCTATGGTGAGCACCAAATCTCAACCCGGGCGTCATATAGTAGCCTCTCTCCTGAAGAAACCCGCACAGCGAGGCCGCAGGCTCCGATTCCATGTCAGACGGTCTAAGTGTGTTTCGGGGCAATAGAGAGATGCTGGATACAGGAGTTAAAGATAGAAGTCCTACGGTGCTGACTTGGTGGTTGTCGTCAGGATAGGTGATGATATCACTGGCTACAGTATGGCTGTCAATACCCATGGTAGATGGGCAGCTAATGCCAGCTTTGTTTTGTTTCTGACGAGCAGTTGTGGGTGCCGCTCGTGAGGCGGCATGCTCCGCTAACGCATGCTGCACGGTCTTTTTGCTCTGCCGCAGATGGTCTATATACAACGCCCGCGCCTCTTTGTTAGCGGAGTTCAGGGCAATGCCGTGAGCAGCCACGTCGTCTACGATGTATGCTGATCCTTTTCGTGCAAGGATATACGCTTCCTCAGGTCGCAGCTCCACGGGCAATCCCAAAAAAAGATTTTGAGTTGGTTGCTGTGGTGTTGTCCCAACCAAAGTACCAGCAGTGTTTTCTTGTCTCCGGAGGAGAGAAGCTGCGTCAGGGTCGAATACTAGATATCGTCCAGCAATTTTCGAAATTCTGACCTTGTTCGGGCCGATCTCTGCGTGATCGCTTGTCGAAATCATAGGTTCTGTGGTCATTGTGTTTGAGTTAGCTCAGGGCCACATATCCTAGGATTTCTCGAGCGCAAGGGTTGACGTGGTAAGGGCATTGGAGAATCATAAGTCGTCTTCGTAATGTTGAATGTGTCGTCACAGGATTTCAGTGGATTGACAGATATTCAGAATTATAATCATGATGCAAATTTGGGCCGCCAGAGGTGAATCGGGAGCAAGGGAACGTAGTGTACATACCAGAATGCGTTGCAATGGCACAAAGGAATAAGAACAAGAAAATCTGAGGGCGTGCATGAAAATTTAGACCGACTTGATTAAGTAGGCATGGCTCGTGTGGGTCAATACTGATAACGGGGCTAAAATCGCATATCGGCAAATTGAGCACCTATGCTGCAACTGGGGCAGCCCAGCTTCGAAGTACCATATTCGCCTTCAGAAATTCAGGTCTTGTTTTTTGGACTGTTCCGAGTGTGATGACGACCTCGATTCTTCGTCAAGGCCGACAGGAGGTAGGCTAAAAGGCATTATAACTAGTCCATTTGAAGCACTGAGCCGAAATGACATGTCTTCTCTCTTCCAGCACCCTTCCATCCCACCACCCTTTTCATGAAATATCGGCAATTTATGAACACGAACCAAGCCTTGAGCTTTGCTTTCCTCCGCCCTAATTTCCTTCGCGTACGTCAGCTGTTTCAGAGGTACGAGTTCAACAACACCATCAAACAAAAGCTCCATCCACTTGCAAAGTCCGGAATGTCGTGGATGAAGAGATATGGGCAGCGAAACTACCGTAGCAAGTTGGGACGGGAACTGCCGTAGCAAACTTTGCAGACTGTGTAAAAACCGCAAAACCTCATCCGGTTTGCATGCTGTGGCGGGGTACGCGGCGGGGGAAAGCAAATTGGGTATGATGACTCGATGTACCAAAGACGAGGCCTTCAGATTCGAGCGAAGCTCAGATATGAAATTTGGGAAAATAGATTGGGATCCGAGTTTAGCAGTGTCTCGGGTGGGATATGTCAGAAGCCGGCCGCGCACGCAGTCTGCTCCCAGCCTCTTCGAAAGGTCAAACGAGTGACAAAAAGTGCTAGAACTTTTGGAAAGTGCAGCTTCACGTTGTGCGTCAAGACCTGGTTTCTGTTGTTAATGTTGTAATTGCAAAACTGTGGAGGCTGCGTGGTGCTTGTACCTTTACTATTTGACTGGCTACCCAGGGTCTCATACCTCCATGCTATCTTCATTTTACTTGCGGATGGAGAACTTTGTGTATGAGGCGGCTGTTCCTTTGCTTGAACTAGACCGGGAAGCTCTCGGCGCCAGGCTTCTCCAACGCCGAGAACGTGAACTTGATGTCCCTGAACTAGGCCTTCTCCAGCAAAATAGCGAAGCAAAACACCTCCAAAGTCCGTCGTTCCGGATTCTTCAATCAACAGAGAACTTCCAAGTGGCAATCCCGCATGACCAGCCAGCAGCTGATCCAACGAAGATGTACCAGTTGACGTGGTCAAGCGACCATCTAATGGTGATGGACGAGTGCCGGGGAGTGTCTCTCTGTTGTCAGTCTGGGATGGTGACGACGGCATCGGCGCATGAATGACAGTATTTCTTTTGCGGAACGACATGACAACTGCGTCTTCTGAACTGCGCAGGCACAAATAATCCAAGTTGGAAGACCTAGTTTTCAAGGCAAGTTCAACAGGACAAATGAATGGGAAACGGAAGGAAAAGAAGTCTGCAGACGGGCAGGCATGAAAATGAAATGTTTAGAAACGAATTAGAATAGAATCTGCCAAAACAGAATTCTCGGTGCTGGAGAGTGCAGGTTACATGTATATGTACGCTGATAAATTGCTCAAGAAATGTCACTGGTCGCTGCAGTCGACTAAACTTCAGACTACTTAGAGGAATGTGGGTCCTGCTTGAAGGAGCGGGAAGGGCGACCTATGCCCCGGTTGAAAGATATGCCTATAACAGTTATTCTACTAGCTCGACTTTTTTTAATGCAGCTGTAAAGAAATATTGCCGAGAAAACAAATACAAAGTGCCTCATATTGTGATCCCTAGCGCATCCCAGTCAACATGTCCGGCGGCGGTGGCGACGCAACCCTGTTTGAGGAGAGCTTTACGGTCACCGAATATGATCAATCCAAATACGATCGTGTTGCCCGCATTTCCTGTACATCGGCCGACTCGCAAACTGTGATGGTGCTTGATATCAACATCGAACTCTTCCCTTGCGCAAGGTCCGATTCCCTACATGTTGTCCTATCCACAACATTATCACCAGACGGCAGCAAGGAGGACGATAAGGGTTGGCGAGATGTCGGCAAGGGAGGGGACGCCCCAGCTACGTTGGCTGATTTGTACGACTATGTTTGCTATGGCAAAATTTACAAATTTGAAGAGACATATGATGGCAATACCATGTACGTACTTGGACGTCCTTTACATTTTCTCTCCTTTACCTATTGAGTCAAATGGCCACGATCCTAGCTATATTCGGCGCTTCCTCAGAGCCTCCGCTTGTTCTCGATAATTCATCGCTAATCATCGGCCGGACAATTAGCAATGCATACGTATCATTTGGAGGCCTCCTCATGTCCTTGCAAGGACCCGTTAAAAAGCTCACGCCTCTACGAGTTGACAACGTCTATCTTTTGATCAAGAAGTAACCGAACAGACACTCGACATTTATCCAATGGTGCATACCATGACATTCAGCCTAGGATACCGATTCACATCTTTTAAAAGGGGAACTTCGCCTTAACGATGCATGTTTAACGGCGGCAAAAAATGACACCCCTTTTTGGTAAATTTTTCTATGACAACTGCAGTAATACTTGAAACCACTGGGTGCAAAAAGATGAAAAGCGCCCACTGATCACCAAATTTGTCACGTTCTTGGCCACCCTTCTTGATGTGGCCCTGGGAAAGGCAGTTTACGATGCATTCGTGACTGGATGGTACTTAGGTGTGGCTCCTCGTCTTCCATCAGGATGCCATGGCGAATAAAGAAGTCCAGCATGACTACGGCGCAGTTGTCCTTGAACTTGCCACAAGCCAGGTCCCTCTTGACTTGGTTTACGTCGCAGAGCTTGAATTCTTCGACTTCGCCGTCCTTTGGTTGCGGGATTACCCTCGCAGGTAGTTTCAGGTCATATACCCACTGGCACTCCGGATAAATAAAATCAGCTTGACCAAAGTTCTTTTCATCGGTGACATATATGTACGTAACCGTGCCGACTTCTTCTGCATTCGGACGAACCACGTCTTCTATGAGACTGGCTTCTTCATCCGCCTCACGAATGATGCACTCAAAAGGCGTCTCGCCTGTCATTAGCCCGCCAGCAACAGTGTTATCAAGCATCCCAGGAAATGTTGATTTGTTTGCTGCTCGCTTTGGGACCCATATTAGCATACCATGTGGTGCAGAAGGTTCAACCACATATGCGGTCAAGTGAACTCCATATCTCATAGTTCCGAGTAAGCCAATAGCAGCGCGCTCCATGCTGAAAAGGAGTTCGCCATTTCGCCCATAGACGGGCCAGAGCTCCCCTCGCCAGCCCCTGAGCAGCTTGAAAGTCCGGTGATCTCGCCAATGCGCAGATAGACTTGCTGCCATTGCCGTACGCTCGGGCTCTGAGGGTAATTGAAAGAGTGATAGCGTCTTCTTGATGTGGTTGACTTCCATTACACCCCTCACATCATCAGGCACGGTTGTCAACTCTGCCACGACGCGATCAAGCACGTATCCGACTGGGTAAATACCGTTTGCATCCCTCCAAACAAAGGTATAAATGCCGTTTGGCACATCAAACAGTGTAGAGGATCCGGTAGCATAAGGGGGATAGGGGAACCTACGGCATTGTTAGTTCTTTTTTCTAAGTTTAGATTCGTCTGCCCGTCGAAGTGTGGAAGAACGATTTGAAAATTGTGGAGGACAAATAGCAAAATATATTGGGATGATTCGCAAGCCTCACTTATCCGTATTATGAACGAGGTCTAGATTTGACTTCATTTCGAGCGATGAGACTTAGGTCGAAGGAATTGATTCAACATGTAATGACTCAATGGACTGGGCGTCCGTCGTGATGTCGTGAAAAGACGTTGAGGATTATGAGTCTGACGAAAAGCACCGAAGGTGGGGTGGCTCGTTGGAGTGATCCAGTGAGAAGAGCCTACCCGCGAATGCCGATTGGCGCACGCCAAATATTCGCACACGACGCTCCCGTCCCTCACCAGCTGGAACCGTGTTCCTAATAGGCGAAAAAGCAGAGAAATAGCGGAAAAGCCTTGGCCGCCATCAATCTCATATCTTCATAATATAAGGTGGGTGTGGTTCTTATTTTATTTCTCTTTGTCTGCTTGTCGAGCCACTACTACTACTCGTCGTCGTCGGTTAAAGATTGCTAGCTACCCCGCGTGACGGTAAGCGGAATTTTTCGTGTATTCGGGCAAAATCACCATCTTCAGTCCAAAGACTCGACATTAGCTGACCCAAGAGAACAAGATACAGCCGTTGAATGAAAGGAGAACCTTGATCACCCAAACGTCAACAGAACCAACCATTCACTCAGCAATGTCCGGCCTCATGTTTGGAGTTATACCAACCGGGCAACAGCTAATCACTGATCCTACATCCACACCTTCTCCTACGTCGTTTCTTTACACACTGCCAAACACCAAGTCTTTTTCTCATGTTATGGTAATCTTGCTACCGAATGTTCAGCTTCCCGATAATACCGCTGCTGCAATCTATCTTGCCACTGCCAAGGACGTTGCCATGGCAGCTGAGTTGGGAGGCACACCAAACTTCAAATTTCTTGGAGGAATAGGGTCTGGGAAAGAAAGCGCGCTGTTTAAGATCAACTCGAACCCTAGCCAAAACCATAGCAATGCAGAAAATGACGGCATCGTGATTGGGGTTTCTATTGAATCGGCAGAGTCTGTCGGCCAACGTTTGGAACAGCTGTCGGCCGACAAGACAGCAAACAGCTCGGCGTCAAATTCCAACACGGCGCAGATGCCTACTTCTCTCCTTGCCCAACGTATAATACAAAACGCATATAATTCTTTGGCAGGCTACACCCAGCCGATAGGTCCTGGGGGTGTAGAGGTTGTCCCTCTCCGGGCATTTGACGACTGGTGGCGAAAATTCGAAAGTCGAATTCGCAACGACCCCAACTTTCTTGCGAAGCCACAAGAATAAATTTAGCAAAGCACTTGAAAATGTCATTTGATAAAGATACCTATAGAATTTTCAATTTGAAAGTCGCTCGTAACTTTCTACGATCCCCTGACAGTTGCTACAATCCGTTTTCGGACGAAGCCTTCGTGTAATTTGATCCAGAACGGCACAAGGTCAATTCGGCCCCCGGGGAGGAGGATTGTTGGTTGTGAGTTTAATAGGGATGAATGGTTCAGCGTTACGAAGAAAACAGCGAACGTGCTCATAGCTAATGTCAATGACCAAGTGACACCAAGCGCACCAAATTCCATAAGCAATTTGTACCTAAGTCTCTTCTATCAGATATTATCATTGCTACTCAGCCTGTGTTGGAGTCATAAGCGGGCTTTTCAATCGGGTCGGGCTGGTCGCTCTGCTTCTCCTACCAGCGTTTAACATTTGGAGATTTGGTGCCAATCGTTCCCTACTTTCCGTTCGAAGGACTAGTCCAGTTCGATCCATTACTGATGGTTGTTGACCCTCCTCAAGGCGACCCAAGACGACTTTAGGGACACCTGGCCCGTGATATCTATTTGCATGGGATCCGTCACTGCTGTCAGAGCCGATGATACCCTCGGAGTAGTCGTCTAGCTCATATCGAGTAGCCTCGCCTTGTTCTAAGATTCTTTCATAATTTGCCGTGCCTCGACCAAATATTTTATTCGTCAAGCTAAGTCCGCTCCGTGGTTTGCGACTGGATTGGCGTCGCCGCCAAATGTTCTGTATTCGACGACTTCTATCAGGCCGTTGAAGAAAGAATACGACTAATAAAGCGACAAACATCAAAGCCAGGATAGAATACAAGGTCTGGTTTTCGAAAGTGTTGTCGTTGTCGATATCACTGTCTTCACTATCGAAATACGAGTCCGACGTCAAAGGTAAAGATCCTGCGTGCTCAAAATCGGAGGGTGTCTTCGAAGCTACATTGCTTCCAAACCCAACGGGCAATGACGAGAGATGAGGTGATATTTGGCCCGACGCATAAAGAACCATCTTTCCTAGGGTCCAACTCACTTCCACACCTTCCACGGTATCAATTGGTTGGAACGAGTTGAGGAGGTCCTGCCTGCCATTCCCCGGCTTGTCGTATGTTGTATTGAAACTGGGTCTAGATGAAAGTCCCAAGCCAAGTCGAGGGATTCCAATCCCTTCGTATAGAACATTTATTAGCCAAGATGCTTTAAAACAGGCTTCCTGTGCGTCTTGAATCTTCTGTGCTGCAGATTTCTTCCGTTTGACTATGTCGCTTTCTATTGAAGCCCATTCGCGGCTACAGAAAGCAAGAACTTTCTGCTGATAACTTGCGAGATCGTACGCCTGTTGCTCCTTGCCAAAAACGCCGTGGGTAGTATGCCAGTACTCTGACACTCCAATGAAGTGGTTGACTTCGAAATCTATTGCTGGAACGTGCTGACCATTTAGGAGGCATGGATGATCTTCGCATGGCGCATCTTTGCGAAGCAGGGGATACGTTGTCTTTAAACACTCATCAAACGCGCCTGTTCCAACAAGAGTTTTCCCGATGATAGATTTGCCGAGACCTGAATTCTCCCCAAGATAACTTCGAAGACCCTTCGGCATACAGGGGTCCGGGATTTCATCGACTGGACCGGCATAGCTTTCCACTAAACTTTGTATATACCGATGTCGGGCTTTGTTGGCTCCAAATCCTAGCCATGTCGCAGTAAAGACCTTATATTCAACTGATGACCCGTCCAGACGTCGCATGCGAACTAATTTTAAATCATTTGCATGGCGCTCGGCTTCAGTCGTATTGGGAGCGAAGGCAATCTGCGCTGACGCACCACCCATGTCCAGAAAGCCATAAGTATGGTGACCCTTTCCGTGAACATGTTCTTTCGGTCGATCAAGAGCCCCTAAGAGGTAATTTGTTGCAATCCAGCCATACAATCCTTCTGTTTCTCCGGATATAACCTGTACTCGTTCGCCACAATCAGGAAGGTGGAATTTTGTGTTCATTTGTAAAAATTTACAGACCCCCTTTAGAAGTGATGCCTGTTGGGGCTCTGGAAGAAGCCGAACGCCTGCTGTAGCCATTAAAAATATAGGGGTCTTGGAAACGTTTTCAGAAGGCACCTCACTGAGGGCCATGTTGATGAGAGACTGTAAATGCTTAGGGCCAATAGATGCCACATCTTCCGCAAATGTGGCAACGCCAGGATGGACCTTTTTGCTCTTTTTTAGCTTTAGCTTCGGCAAAATACGCAATTCCAAAGAAGAGGCATTTTGACTAGCTAAGATGGGGTGTTTCCATTTGTAGACATAAAGACGAGTTCCCGACGAACCGGCGTCGAGAATAACTCCATATTGAGCTAGAGTGACGAAATATTAGTTGACAAGTAATTGCAATAGAGTCGGTTAGGAGTCCCGGGTTATGATACGATACTTGACATACAATTTTTGCCCATTAGGACATAATTTACGTTGCAAACCAGTACTCAGGGATGTGTTACGCGACTTTGATCTGGGCAACAGCGTTTTATTTCTTTTGTAGTGTTGGTCGCTGCGAGCGGGCTGCCGCTATGAAGGCCCTTTTTTAATCGGTAAATCGGCAACGGTGCTTCCTATTTGGTGAATTTGGTCGTGAATTATTCGGACAGCGGATACGGTGGTTGCGGTCGTACAGTTGCGATGTGCAAACGCGCCGAGACAACCACGAAATGATCATAGGAAACGCGGTGGGTGGCGTAATTTGAACGGCGGCGACGAGATATTGTAGTCACAATCGCAAACTGTGTCTAGAGCGAGAGGCCTGTGGGCAAAAAAGAATGCAACATGGTGATTACAGGATAATGTATGAGGAAAATAAGACGCTGACTTGAAGCCTGTCGTCATCGCGGCAGAGAATTGATCTCTTAGGAGTACGTGGCCACACCGTGCAAATACAGTTAATACACAATTTCGCACATGTGGAGCTTGACCCTGGAAGCCATTTATGCTCTAGTGATCCAATACAGTCGGGGGGAAGTAGATCTAAGGTAAAATGTGTTTTAGTCACGATTTCGTCCAAAACACCTACGTAAATAGAAATAATCTCCCCATCTGGTACCAAAGAGGTATAAAAAAATGGAGGCTTAAGATCGATGCAGTAGGTCAGGACTAACTAATTGTATGGCTAGTTGACCTTTTGTACCATATAAGATTAGGTAGTAAGCAAGCCCTTGGTAACCTTGAAAATTGAAGCCCGAGCGAAACAAGGTGTCAAGTGCAAGCGGAAGGGAACCCCCATCAATCAGCCATTACTCCGTACACCAATGCGGCTTCTTGTCCCCCAATCTTCAGGTTGGGGGACTGTCTCTGTTACCGTAAGCAAGGCAAATTAGCGTTGCACGATACAATCTCTGTATTGATACAAAGTCTTGAGTACTAACCTACAAAGGAGAGGATTGAGTGCGCCCCTGATAAAAGGGGCTTTCGGCTCCACATAACGCCGTGCGTATTATCTAATTCCGTCCGGTGCGCGTTACGTGGCCTGATACCTGATACAGCTACTACTAGTACTAGGCTGTGATCCCGTGTGACGGTTTCACTATCAGAGTGTCCGTATCGTTGTCTCCGCGTGACTACTCACCCATTCCAACAGCTTCAACCCATATGACATGATTACAGCCTGTTGTCGATTGGAGTGACGGATGCCACTTGATTGCATCCGTATTCGTAGTGAATGACAATTACGAAATATTATTGTACATATAACTATGCATGTAAAATTTGTGGAAACTTGTGCCACAGCAATAAATCTTCTTGAAAACACACACCTGGGTCTCTCTGTGAGAGGCCACCGCCCTTGGTACCTAACTTACTCGAGCACTATCGTATAGCAGAAAGGAAGAGGGTCTCTCAAAAGCCCGCAGGTCACTTCTGATTCCTCTGCTATGTGGAATCGTTTAGTCGCCTTTGACGTATGAAGCACAAATGAAGTGTATGCAACAATGCCGCTGAGAACTTCATTACCTACTCGAGAATGGCATGTGATCTCACGTAATGCACGATCTATCTATGCTTAAGTGGGAACTGCCACTACGTACAATGCGATCTATCTCCACGGTAGCGAAATGCCTGTAAAAGGTGAAAATGACAAGCCTGCCCCAGCATCTTCCCGCAAAATAGGGTCCCGGGTATGTTGAACTACATCCCGAGGCTGGTTTTGATATGTTCAGCCTCGACGAGACAATGTACTCTGTCGCGTCAATGCCATGTGATGCACTGGTCGTTCCTCGCTCGAACAGTTAAGGTGTCTCCTCGTCTTAGTCACAACTACTTCTGGGTTTATTCTTTCCCCGGCCAACGGCCAATTATAAGGGTCTTTCTCTGGCCTTGGGTCAGACCAATTGCGATCATGTGTCTGCCATTGAAACTGTGGTGTCGGATTAACGGCGTTTCCCACCGTCCTCGGCGGGGTGCCGTTTCCAGAACCTGCTCTGGCTTTGTGATATAACTCCTGGACTTGCAAAAGACGCCGGCTCTTGTCTCTATGAGCAACAACTAGCTCTTCGTTTCTGCGGCACAATCGCTCGTGTTCTTTGGTTGTGCCTGATCTGGTTAGAGAGGCTCACATGTCATATCCTAAACCTACTATCAATTATTGTCTGTAGTCGCGCAATCTCTGCATTTGCCTCCGTAACAGTCTGATGGAGTTGAGATTTTAGCTTCGAATGCTTCTCAGTCAAAATCCCATAAACGTGCTGTTGGTAGCAGATCTCTTGCGTCTTTTGATAAGCCCAAAAGTTGAGGGCTCTTTCGGCGCACTCCAACACGATACCAGGACTAAGCCCGCTAAGGACAATAGCCTTGTAGTCTTCACTAGGAAGAAGGTTTGCTATCAAAGTGTCTCGATCGCGGAACAGCGTTGAGTGACAGGCGGGACAGACAAATGTCTGCTTGGCGGCTATGTCACAGACTAAGCGGAGGTGTTGAACACAATCTAGGCAAAACGCATGACTTCCACGGGAATTAGCCTA